GGACTGTCTGCGGAGCCGCAAGCAATCCACTCTGAGCATGGAAATAGCCCGAATCGGACTGAGCAAGAATCGCTTCCTCGTTTTACAAAGTCTCGTAGATTTGAGTCTTCCAGACTCCAAGCGTCTCCTGAATGTTTCGTACTTCGTAACCTACTTTGTTTAATGAGATACACTACATTTTCTCTTCCGCGGCCATTACCGCTCCTCTTTGTTTGGATGCCATGCTCTAATAAAGGATGTAAAAATGTTCGCAATTCCAGTAAAACTCACTGCAACAAAGAGTCGCTTGCATGTCGCCGTTTTGGATCCAATGACAGAAAATAGCGGTGGGGATACATCTATTTCGTCGTATCGAGCGCGACTTACTTGAGTTAGTGCTACTCCGGGCTTCCGTATCGTCTCCCCCTCCCTCCTTGTGCTCTGCGACTTCAAGTAACTGCGCCACCTGGCGTTTAAATGCCTGTATTACAAGTCCAAATGAAATGAATGCAATAATTTACATCGAACCTTAATTGTGTACTGTACCAACCTTCGGCGGGCCGGATTAAAAAGACCAACGGGCCGGATCCGGCCCGCGGGCCGTAGTTTGCCCATGTCTGTGCTTGACGCATGTTCCACCCGGAAATGAGACGCGTGGAGTCGGCCAACATAACTCTTGCGGTCTTTTTATACTGTGGCTGTTGTGAATATTCTCCCAGACCCTAGGAGGCAGTGAAGCGCATTTATGGCATATGAACAGCTCTTCACAACAGAGGTAGGAAACAGTTGAACTTTTTTCCCCCTCAATAATAACAATAATACATTTTATTTATGAGTGCCTGTCAAAACACTCAAGGACACTTCACAATCAAGAACAAAAATATAAAATCAACAGTTTGGGGTGAGCAGTGTACATGCATCATGAAAATAAATGAAAAAGAATCAGGAAATAGACAACAGCGTTTTCTCTTCCGCCATGTGTTTTCACATGGACCATCTGCGTGGGTTCTAACATTTTTGGAGGTGCAGGACCTGCCCGGTGCGGAAAATGTGGACACTGCGCGGAGAGGTGCGGTTGATGCAATGACGTAATTTTAACGTGCGGACCTGACGGACGCGCTAAATTCCAGGTTCGACTGTATTTGGGTGTCAAACTGAATGTTCTATTGACAATGAGGTCTTTGTTTACTGGGTTAAAGATACAGAAGACAAAAAAAGCACATTAATGAATGGCCTATTGGTTTTAATTTTAAATAATCAACATTTTATACTTCAAACTGTGCATAGCAGGAAATCTTTTAATCTCTAGAAACATTAGTGTGAATTTCTATGAAATTCCACAGCGACAGCCAGCCAGAGCAGCAAGGGATGCTGCAATTTGGCGAGGGAAAACAAAGCGTCCCCAAAAATAACAAAATAGGCGGTATTAAATTAGCTGTTGACAGAGTCATGACTTGTCGAAAAATTCTTGGTAGCCCCACTGCAAAGTCAAGCTTTAAACTGGGTATCCGCAAAAAAATATTCATAAATTCCCTCTTATTTAAGATGATTAAATTGTCTGCAACAAAAAGTTTCAGGCGCACCATTTAGGTCACGCTTAACTCAAGAGTGTCATGCGAGTGTCATCACACATGAAAGCTGTTGGTAGACTCTGCAAGAAAAGGCAGCGTTGACCAAATTTCAGACATATGAGACATTCATCTGACTGGTGGATGTCAATTTACCTGTACTGTTGATCTGTCACTCCCCTCCTCTCAAATGAATTGGTTAACTGAAAATCAAGCTCATATTCTACACTAATGGCGGCCCGGGGCCACTGTCGGGCCACCCGAAGTTAACTGACCCTCGCCTAAGCGGTAACCGGAACCCCGGGGGTCATAGTCACTGACCCAGTATGGGATCGTACTGCTCTTGACTCCTCAACACATGCATCCGGATGATTGTCTGACAGTGAGGAGAAGGTGGTCTGCTGAAGGCCTCTCATCCTTTGATGAGCTTTCGCATCTAATGCGGCACACTGACCGGTCACCTAATTCCTTTGACAGTGACAGCTGGGCGCCGTTGCCAAACTGTCCACATGTTGGTGTGAACTTTGCCAGATAGGACTTGGAGTGTGCCAAAGTGGGCTGAAAATGGTGAAGAACAAGGCACAAGATGTTCTCTAAAGCGAGATTGTCTTTCCCTAGGCTGATGGACTAAAGCCTGGTTCCAATCCACTAATGGCTCAAAATGATCATCTTAACAGATATTCTTGCTATGTGTAGTGTGTTCAGACTGATCTTGACCATTTGGATGGACCTTTGGGCTGGTCCGATCTCAAATCAGGAATAATCAATGTTTTGGCCCGACTTCTCGCTGTATGTGGTGTGCCCCCGAGCTAGCTAGCTTGCTATCTATCTGTCCATCTTTCCATCATTCTGTCCATCTATCTATGTCTCTGGTTCTCTCTCTCTGTCCGACTGTCTCAATCTCGTCTTGCCTGAACAAAATAACTTTGGTTTTTTTGGTGACTTGTTTGATTTCTTTTTCACACAGTAACTTAATTGACACTTGCCTGAAACTTGAAGACTATGACTGGAGACGTTCTTGTAACTTGTAGCCAACTCCGGTTAATGTCACCTTTGCCATGCATTGGAAGAGCATTTAATTTTTCCGCCAATCACTTTGTGCCGCTGGGACGGAAAGAAGAGCAAAGATATGTTTCTGATTAATAAAGATATGTAACAACAAAAAGAACGTTGAATCATTCAATCCTTCATGTTCATTTTTTGTTTTGTTTTCACTTTTTACCGAACAAAAGTCTGACTGCACCGAATGAAAAACTGTGACCGCAAAATTGAGATGCAAACCAAACTGCGGATTTAGTGAACCGTTCCACTCCTAAGCTGTAGGCTTCAGTTTAGTTATTCAGCAACCATGTGCTCTGTGTTTGCATTGACTGCACATTGGCTAGTGCTATCTTGCCCTAAAATTGTGCCCCCCGCCCTCCTCTCTATTTCTTGTCAGGAACCTTTAAAGAGGACCATGGAATAGCAAGATAGCAGTTGGCTGCAAAGGGCTTTCCTGCACAAACACGTCCCTTCTGTGGGGGCCCACCCCAGCATGGCGGACCCAGGGATGTTGAGTTTATTTGGGGATGATGCAGGGCTGTTCTCCGATGGATTGGATGGTTTAGGAGACTGCTTTCCTCAGCAGCCAACCCCAGGCCAATCCAGCACTCTACCCCGACAGACTAATCCCCCGCTCAACCACGAACACCAGGGAAACAGGGCTTACCACCAGGGGATGCTCCTCGGTACTGGACCAGCACAGCCTAAATTGGGCCAAATGTACGACCACAGCTCCTACGCAAGCTATGAACAGGCCGGCGCTCCCGCAGGAAGAATGATGTCTCAGAATGGTCCGAGCCAGGGGCCACCAAATGTCAACGCAACTATGAATGGCATGGCTTCCCACTACCACAACAACCCCGCAAATTCAAGTAATACCCATCATGGTTACCCAGGTGATTCTGGGGGTGGCGCTGGTGTTTGGGGACAACAGCATCAAAGCAGATCACCATATCAACAGCCAGCAGCGCAAGCAGGGAGTGGCCCCAACCAGATTGGGGCGTTCCAAATGTCTCAAAGCAGCTACGGCGGCATGCAGGGCCAACCCACATCCAACGCATCTCGTATAAACCAACATTACCCACCACAGAGCATGGCTCACCAACCAACTCAAGACCCGTCTCACTACATGGGACATGTTGGAATGGTGGGGGGTCAAATAAGACACCCACAGCCCCAAAGCCAAGGTTACCCCAATATGAGCCACACACCAAGATTCCCACATTCTCCCTCACGACAGCCTGCGCATCCTCATCAACATCAGCAAGGTATGGCTGGGTTTGGGGGTGGGCAATACCCTAGTTATCAGGCCCAGTATGGTGCCATGGGTTCTGGAGTTGGCCAGGGTGCGAATGCCGCTGTCAGCAGCAACGCCAGCCCTGCTCTGGGACCCGGGCAGCTCGGCCAAAGGTTTAACCAGGGATCAGGCGCAGCTTCTGGGCAACCCGGACAGCGATACCCTCCCGGGCCATCCCACCAGACACATTCTGTCCCACTGCAGCCACAGCCGGCAGGGCAACAGGGCCAGCCTATGCACCGCCTTAGCCACTCCCAGCCCCCCAATCAACCCCAGTCCCATCTTGCACCCCCAGCTCAGGGATCCTACCCCTCTCCCTCATCAATGTCCCCCATGCGGGTTTTGGGAACCCCCACCCCACCTCCCCAACAGGTCAGGCCCCCGAGTGCAGGACTCGTTGTTCCCACAGAGGTGACGGGGTACACAGCCCTGCAGTCTCCACCAAATTCTATCGCACATCCTCAGAGACCTCCCCAAACGTCACTGTCTGCTGCACACCAACACCAGCCACCCCACAGTATAGCCTCCAATGCAGGGCAGATGTATTCTGGCATGGGACCGCAGCGTTGTCCTCAAATTGTCCCAAATCGCCCTCCGCTCCAGACACAACAAGGTAAACGAAATCATTCACTGTCAGTACCTTATTCAGGATTTTTTTTTTTTTTTAAGGCTCTGTCGATATCTGGTTGTCTCTCCCCCAACATTGTTTCTTTCCACGTTGTGCTACGGTAACGTTGGGCTTCACTGATTGTCCTGCCTCTGTTTTTAGGGCATCATGAGGCACCAGTCGGCCAAGGGGGAGATCAGCATCTCCTCCATTCCCAGCAACAAGCCTCTAGAAGTGGCCAGCCCATGCAGCCTTCTCCTGGCGGTTTCCAAGGTCCATCTGTCAGTCAGCACGGAGCCCTGCCCCTGAACCACGGTTTATTGCCGCCCACCCAAAACGTTCAGACGCAGCACACTCACCTGTCCCCCTACCCTGTGCAGAGCACACCCCCTCCCCCCAGCCAGTCTTCCCACCATTGGACACCGCAACCTTCTGCCTCCCATCCACTTTCCTCACCCCCTACCACCCCTCAGAAAGTGCCTAATATACAGGTGAGTCTTAGTCAAATGCTTTCATTGCTTAGTCAATGTTTTGTTTTTTTTGGGGGGGGGGGGATTTCTGTGTCTAGAATGCAAGGAAACTTTGTCATGTTTGTGTACTTTGTACATGACATTTGTGAACGCAGCGGCACACTGGGCACTCTTCAGTGAAGCCCTGTATTTATTTCTTCATATTGGTGTGTGTTTCTGCTCTTTTGTGTCCGCTCTCGGCCATCTGTGGTTGGGCTTCTATGTATGTATGTATGTATGTGTGTGGGAGAAATTGATTTTTATTTTCCTCCAACACGCACACACAAGCTACCGCGCATGTACATCGGCACCACCAGCATAATTGCTCCTCCCCCTTGCTCCCTCTTCACCCTCGCCTCTTTAGAGGAAACCTCCCTTCCTGTCTCTACCTCCTCCCTGTCTCCTCTCTTTCCGCTCTCTCTGCGGGTCTCTTTCCCAGTCTTATTTATTTCTTTTCATCATTGTTGTGTGGCCAGATGTTCAGAGAGATAGTTTAAGAATGAGAGGGTGAGGAAGAAAAGAAGCCCATGACCGCCTCTTAAGAGGAAGGATGTGGGGGAAGGGGGGAGGCGAGCAAGGACCTCTGGAGATGGCATCCAAACTCGATTCCATAGGAGAGCATTACCCAAGTCCGGTCCTGGAGAGTGGCTATCCAGCCTGTTTTCCATGTTTCCCTCCTCCATGACACCTGATTCAAATGATCAGTTTACCAGCAAGCCTTGGGCACCCCTTACAGAGGAGAATGCAACGACGCCTGACGAGTCGATGGCAATGTGGTTGCAGTGTTCACTGATGACATCCATGTTTTCTGGTCGTGATTTATGCACCAATGCTGCTGCTGCTCGTGGTGCCCTCTTGTTCCGTTAGCTTGTTTAGTCGCTCAAAGCCTCCTTTCTCCACGGACCCATTCACACACAATGGCAGCCCTGTGGTCTCGCATGCCGAGATCCAATCCGCTTCCCTCTGCATTCTCATTCACACTGCTTTCCACTCTTCCCATACCATCACCCGCCCTACCTCTAGCCTTTTTGACCTGTGTTTTGTGGCTGACATTTTAAGTCGTCGCACTCAATTTATCCAGCTCTCCTGACCTAGATGCTAGTTTGGCTGGTGAACACTGCTTCTCACCTCTGCGTACTGCATGCGCCATCCCCAGTCTAGCTGCCTGCAGCACCCACAGCTTCCCATCAACACAGTCACTCAGATGTCCGCACACACACACACACACACACACACACACACACACACACACACACACACACACACACACACACCATGTTTCCCTCCTCCATGACACCTGATTCAAATGATCAGTTTACCAGCAAGCCTTGGGCACCCCTTACAGAGGAGAATGCAACGACGCCTGACGAGTCGATGGCAATGTGGTTGCAGTGTTCACTGATGACATCCATGTTTTCTGGTCGTGATTTATGCACCAATGCTGCTGCTGCTCGTGGTGCCCTCTTGTTCCGTTAGCTTGTTTAGTCGCTCAAAGCCTCCTTTCTCCACGGACCCATTCACACACAATGGCAGCCCTGTGGTCTCGCATGCCGAGATCCAATCCGCTTCCCTCTGCATTCTCATTCACACTGCTTTCCACTCTTCCCATACCATCACCCGCCCTACCTCTAGCCTTTTTGACCTGTGTTTTGTGGCTGACATTTTAAGTCGTCGCACTCAATTTATCCAGCTCTCCTGACCTAGATGCTAGTTTGGCTGGTGAACACTGCTTCTCACCTCTGCGTACTGCATGCGCCATCCCCAGTCTAGCTGCCTGCAGCACCCACAGCTTCCCATCAACACAGTCACTCAGATGTCCGCACACACACACACACACACACACACACACACACACACACCACGGTGAGGTCTGGAATGAAATGGCAAATGTGCCTGGGGAGATAGGATGTAGCCTGGTGGTGGAATCCTTTTACCGCGTGTGCGTGTTTGCTTCACTCTAGTTGCACACAGCTATTAGTGATTCGTGTGATGCACTTGTTTGAAAAACACACAAGCACTGCAGTCTGCATGCACACACAGACCGGTCAGTCACTTGCGATTACGGTATGTCTCGTAGTCTGTGCTCCATCTGTTCACTAATCATAGTTATTACACACACGTATCTATACGCACCCACACCCAAATGCACATGTGCTTTCGTCAGCTGCTCAAGGTCACAGCTCTGGCAGCGTACTCTGCCGTGACCTTTTTTTCTACATCACACGCACGTGCACGCGCTGTTGCGTGCGGCACTCCAGTTGACATATAACATGCCTATCTCACCCCTCCCCCGCTTATGAGTCCCGTCAGCAAGCTGCTGTACCATCGAACTCACCCCGTCCGTCTCTGCAGCTTCGAGGAAATGGCTCTCGAATGTCCTTTTTTGAGTGGATTTGAATGCAAAAATGGAGACCAATTTTGGCGAAATTAACAGACCTATTTCAAAATAAATTCATCAGTGATGTCAAGCAAAGGCCCCGTAACACAATTCAACACATTGGTGCAAATAATGTCCCCATTCTGTCACTTGCTTGTCCTATGTGCGCTATGGACTGACATGGCATCACTTCTCCAGAATGGTGGGAAGTCAATGCCTTTGGCCACAGTTGTGTTTGAAACTCACCTTTCCAATAAGATCTCCAGCACATTTTGGTTTGTCACAGTGCCGTTGAGATTGGTAATCGGTCTTGGCACGGACAAATGGATGGATCTGTGTTGTGATTTTTCTTGGGTTGCATAACCATCAATGGCGACATGCATAAAGCATTGCTGTCCACTGAAAACCAGTCCCTCCGTGGTCCAAGGCAGACACGGAAAGCCGTTGCTTATGTAGGCAGAAGTTCCCACTCCCGTCCTTGATCACCCAATCACAAAACTAATGTCATTCACAAATACAACCGCTCTGTAGAAGTCTGAAAACCATCAGATTTTTGATTTAGAATCCTAGGTTTGACGTCTGAATTGGCCTTACCGGGGAGGCGGAGGAGTGTTTTTCCCCATTCCCACATGTGGTCGAGTTCATGGGACGGGAAACCCAAGTTACATCTTCCAGTTATGTCCGGTCAAGCCCTTGCAGGTAGTCTCCATCAAGGCTCAGGTCCTAGCCTTAGCTCCAGATGGGGGCCAGAGCAGCTCGTCTCCAAGGGAGGGAAAACATCTTCCAAAATCTATCTTTATCATCGGAGGCTTGGACCTGTGCTTGAACCGGTTCCTTACCTGGAACTTCTTTTGCATTGGGTAGCCCTACTAAGGGCATAACATCCCTGACAAAAATGGACCATTACGACCGGCACTTGATCTAAGTGGAACTGGAAAGAGGGACTTTGATATTTTGAGACCTCCTGAAAGGTGATTCAGTGGCTCTCCGCCCTTAGGAATTGTGCACTGCTTGTGCAGACACCAACATTTCAGCTTTGCTAAATTGGAGTTAGGTTATAGTTGGATGGATAGATGGAGAAAGGGATGCCCCCCGCCGATCGACTCCTTTCTTCCTCTCTTATACCTCTGCGAGAGTTAAAACGGAATGCTCTTCTCTCTGTGTCAACATTTCCACCGGTTGTTTAGATTCATTTGTTTGAAAGAAGCTCTCTATTCAAATAAATCACAGTCAGCTTGTCACCTCTTCTTTTGAAGGTGGTTTTCTTGAACACGCAGCTTGGAAGCGCTATTGACCCCAAATATCTCTGTTCCTTTCTCTATTTCTGTTGTCCCCTGCTCATCCCTCTCGCCCCCATTTTGTCGAGGTGGCTCTATTGACGTGTGTCAGCAGGTGTTTGTGCGCCCTGTTTCGTGTGTTGTGAGACCTTGCAGTGCTTGGGTGTGACATGTCTCTGTGCATTAGCTTCCGCCTGATGCGAGCGGACTAGGGAGTGATAGCACCTCCCCATCCTCCATATGAAGCACACCCAAGCTGTGGTTTGTATGTGTCGAGCTGCTTCTCTGGCATTTTACTAGTTAAATTTGCTGTTGCTCACACATCCCTCAACGTATTTAGACAACGCAATGTTGGTTTTCTTGTTTTTTTTCCCCCCTTTCCTCTATGACATACAAACACTCGGGAGCAAAATCTCCACTGCTCGAATGACATGCATACTCGCAAACGCACACAGATTCTTCCTCCCTGTGACTTTTTGAAGTATGGAGATAATTTATTCGTGTCATGATGCCTGATTTCCCATCTGCTACTGGGACCCTGAGCAGCTGGAGGAAGAAAGAAAGGAGGAGGGAGCATTGGAAGAGAGGGAGGGGGAGAGGCAGCTGGAGTGGCTCTCAACAGCTGGTAACCAGTTTCCTTTCACAGAAAGCATATATTGGAGCAATAAGGAGGAGGTGGCGTACTGAGAGGGAAAGCGGATTGAAATTGCAGGAGTGCGAAAAAGGAAAAATGAGGTGTCAGCCAGTTTGTTTGCTAAGGTTAGATAGAATGTTGCTGCCGAAGAGAGGCAGAAAATTTATGGCACCCGGGAGTAAGCAGCACCCATGTGACTTCACGTGTGACTCTAGCAAGGCTCAAAATAACCTTTGCTTTTTTTATTTTTTTGAAGAACAGTTTTACTAATCAATAACTTGCGACTCTGTAATTTTGAGCTGCAATTTTTTTGGGGACGGTTAATCCTGCAAAAGAAAAACGCATAAGCACCCACATACTGTACTTAGTTCATCCCTCAAATCCATTTCACATACAAATTTATAATTCATCTTATACTGGACCGTTGCAAAGAAATATAACAAAGCCAATTTTTGTTACTTTTGGTGCCATATGTAGATACTTGGCGGGTTAAGTTGGATTATTATGTTAAAACAGGTTTGATTTGCTTTGCGTTCTGGTGACATTACATGCATTGAATCATGGCGAGTTGCTTCTTGATGTCCTGTTTTTGTTTGTTTGTTTGTTTGTTTGTTTTTTACATAAAGAAACCAATGCACTTGTTTATTTTTGGGGAACTCGTTTAAGATTAACTGCCATATTTCTCTTTGGTCCTTTCAGCATTCCTCGTTGGACCCATCTGCCGATGCCTCCGTGATAGTTTCCGATCGACCGACTGGCAGCACTGGCGACACCAGACAGCCTGTCAGCACGGAACGGCCCAATGACCAAGAGACCAAGCCAAAAAAGAAGAAGAAAAAGAAAACTAAAGTAGAAGATGGAGAAGAGGAAAGAAAAAAGAGCATGACAAAAGTAGAGGAAGACATCAAGTCCGGACTTCCTTCAACAGGGTGTGAGCAGGGTGCCGGCCCAGGAATTGGAGATGGAACTTCGCCAGCTGTTGAGAAGAAAAAACGGAAAAAGAAACCAAAGGATAAGGCTGAGGGCACTGAGGCCAAAGAGCCCAAGACCCCCAAAATGCCTAAAACACCCAAGACCCCCAAGACTCCCAAAGAACCCAAGGAGAAGAAAGTCAAGAACTCCACACCCAAGGCCAAGATGCCCAAAAAGTCCAGGTAGGAACGGCATTACTGGCTAAGTGGTTATTTGCGAACGTGGACGCACAAGGACAGGAAAAGTTGGTCCCACATGAATCATTGACCATTTCATGACACTGATTTGTTTGGAAAGCATCCGATGAAGTTACTTTTAGAACAACAGATGCCTAGGACTCCATCCGTAAAACGGTTTGACATGTAGGCTTTTCAGTGATCGACCAGTCCCGTTTTGTCCCAGTTTATGATCAACAGGGTTAAAACCATGATCAGATTTAGTAGATTTTTTTGCTGCGCTTTATTGTATGCACAGCAGTCAGTAGGAAAAAAATGTTAGATTTGCATACGTAAAATTTGACACGTGGAGGCAGTGTGTGTGTCCTTTAGTGGACCCCTGCGTAATTGGCCTTTCGCACGTGGATTCACCAATTAGGCAATTTTTTTAGGGGGGCTGAGGAGGTTGAATCCCCTGTTTTTCATGGAACATGCGCATTGGTGGTTTGCCCTGATTGCCGCTAGCCTCAATAGATTCATATCAGCGGCTAGGAACCAGCGCAGCGACACAATGTGAACCTTCATCACCAGATTATTGTGTCCAATAATGCTCAGACAACAACCGCGTGCTTACGAAAACTTAATTCATCATCGAATAACAATCGCCATTACACTTTACGGCATGTGTGTTTTTACTGTTCTCATAATACGCTAGTTCGTTGAAGCGTATAACAGTGAGAGGTATTTTAAATCATTTCTTTTAGTTTTTTCGGAGCTTCAGCCTCCCAGCGCCAACGCTTTCTGCTCCCACGACACGAGACGAGGCTAAAAATAGATTAGCATCCGGGCTCACATGTACACTATGACAGCACCGAACCATCCGGAGTGTTCTAATTTCGCGGCGTCCGATCAGTGATGTCATTGACAGTTTGCGCAAATTATAACATTGCATTTGATCATTAATTTTTGCCTAAAATGCAAGCGAGTTCGATACGCTCGATCAGATCAATGTAAAGTCGAATGGCTCCGCACAATTTGTGAATGCTGGAAGCATCACAAGAGGGCATTGCAATGAGTTTAAAACCCAGTCAGTCTTTAATGGAATGCTGTTGTTTTGTTTTTCGAGATAAGCGTGACTCCTCTGACACTGACACTCGCACATGCAGTCCAGTGTCTTCATGTGACGTGCACTTGCCAACTTTTTGCGTCGGAGAACACGTGCAAGAGCGCAGTTGAGAATGTTTGTATGTTAAATTCAAAGGTGGTTTCATTGTGAAGGCGGAAACTTTATTGGACGGAGGAATGCCAGGACAGCCCCCCTTTTTCTCTCACTCTCTCTCTCTCTCCTTTCTCAGACTTCAGTCTCACTCCCTTCTTTTTCTCCTTCCTTACCGGCCCGTTTATCCTAAGAAAGAGGGAGGGCCAAAGCTGCAAGCAAGGGTCAATGCTGGGGGGGAGGTGGGCTTATGCGAATGCATGCATCGGCCACTGTTGAAGACAGTGGGGGAGGGGGCGACCGGGTGAGGGGGGGTTTGTGATGCGGCAGGGTCGGTTGCTACCGAGGCGATGAGGGGGCAGGCGTTTTTTGTATGTGTATTGGGGGAGGGACCCCCCCCCCACCTCTCTCTTTGTGGCAGAAAATGGCGTCTAATGATAATGAAGGCCATGCGGCTGATCACTCCACAGCCACAGATCAGTGTGGGCAGAGGAAATGTGGGGGAGGAAGAGTGGAGTGAGTGAGTGAATGATCGAGCATGTGTGTGTGTGTGTGTGTGTGTGTGTGTGTGTGTGTGTGTGTGTGTGTGTGTGTGTTGGTAAACTCGCTCTTATCTGTTTTCAGGCTTTCCTCCATTTTGAGTGGCGGACAGCAGCTCCCAGGTTAATTTAGCATAATAATGGCTGCCGGCCACTCACTGCTACTCTAAAATGGTGAACCAACACCACCCAACCATCATTCTTTGATTCATCTTTTGAGCCAGTCAATTTGACTGTCACCTTTATCTCTTCTCCTTTCTCCTTCTGTTGCCACGATCCTATTTTAGAGAGCGTCTTCCCTCAATATCATATCATTGTTTCATTGAATGGATTTTTTAAAAGTTGGACAGTTTTGCTATCAACAGAGGTGGGCAATTTTACATTTTGCCAGTCCGCCATTCATCACCCATCATCGCTCATCATTTTTTCAAGCCGAACCAAACTGTGATGGTCAGTCTCTCATGTTATTTTCACTGTGCTTCGCTCATCGCTTCTCTTGGTGTATTTCGGTCCGCCAGTCCATTAATTAATCAGCCATCCATTTCCCAATCCCTTTATCCTCACGGGGTCTCGGGCGTGCTGGAGCCTACCCCAGCTGTCTTCGGACAGTCGGCCAAACACAGGGCATACATCGTCGAACGACCATTCGCGCTCACAATCACGGCAAGGGACAATTTAGAGCGGAGGTTCCCAACATTTTTTCCCCACCGGGGCGGTTTCATGTCAGACAATATTTTCAGGGACCGGATAGATACAACAATATAATAAGATATGACCTGCATGAAAAGTGTGGTATTTTCAAAACATAATAATAAACACGAATCATGACACGAGGAACGTCCTATCTGGCCGCAACGTTCTCTGGTCGCTATGGTAACGTTTAAGCGTGCCTTCAAAATAAGATACGCCGCAAATAAAAAGTGCATGAAAAATACGACTCACCATCGCCGCTTATTATGCAGAGTACGCTTGGTGAGTGTGAATCTCCCATTGAGATAAAGCCATATTTGAAATAGGACTCCTGATACTGTCTATTAAATGTAGCCTTCTCTTTCTTGAAAGTCGTAGACTCCTCTTCTGTCTCCTAGCTGGGCCTTTTCCCCTTCCCGAAAAAAACTTTTCAAAGGCGTTTGTTTTTTTATGCGCTAACCTATCACGTGACTGAGAAGCGCGCATTCACCTGCGTCAAGAGTGACATACTGTAGACTGATATAACAGAGAATCCGGTGCTTTTTCAAAATAAAATATCTTTCAGATTCCGAAATGAATAAAACGGAAGGAATGTAAGTTATTTATTCTTTCTGTGTGGCCCGGCACCAAATGACCGTCCACGTCCGGTGGTTGGGGACCCCTGATTTAGAGCATTCAACCGATCAGCCTTGGATGTCTTTGGAATGTGGGAGGAAACCGGAATACCCGGAGAAAATTCTTGTAGGCATGGAGAAGAACATGCACATTTCATGCAGGAAGGCCAAGGCCTGGAATCGAACCCTGCACCTCTGCACTGTGCGGCCGACGCGGTAGCCAATCTTACACTGTGCCGCTGCATTTATCGTCAATTAGTTTTCATTTAAATGTTAAAATGGCTTAATGGAAGCAACCTTGCTTGTATTCAGCCCCACGAACAAACACATGAGACAGGCCAGCCGTGTTTCAGTCGGTTGTCGGCCCCAATGATGCGCCCTCATGTCACACCAGGGTGTCATGGCACCCTGGTTGGGAATCACTGGTCAACACAATTCACGTTTGTAGATCAATATATTGTTGTAAGAAATAAATCACAGTCACTTAACTTTTACAACCAATATTGTGACTCTTATCCTGGAAAATTCAACTGTGGGTGCTTCAAGCCTCTTGTTGCAAACTGACAGAGAATCGGGTGTTTTACTTTGCCAAGTCAGCTCACTTCGCTCCTTTGACCTTCTCTCTCCATCCTGTTCGCTCGCACCGCCACTCTGTCTACTTGTCTCAGGAAGTGCAACTATAAATAACCCAGCTCTAAGCTGCCACGCCCTTCCCTCCCTGTGTACATGTGTGTGCGTGCACATGTGTGTGCATGTGTGCGCGGTGGGGATTTTGTTTGCAGTATACCCACCCGAACACACATTCTGGCACTTTGGTGTGTGTGTGTGTGTGTGTGTGTGTGTGTGTGTGTGTGTGTGTGTGTGTGAGTGTGTGTGTGTGTGTGTGTATCTGTCTATCTGTCTGTCTGTCTATCTTTCCATCCATAGACAGAGAGAGATGTGTGTGTATGTCCATGGATGGATGTGTGTCCACCCCTCCCAATAGCTCTTGTGTCCAGCCCCACATTTTACTACAATTCCGGGCAGGCCTTCATTCCCCTCCCCTAATTTGCAAGGAAAATTTTGGCTTTATGCACTGCACTCCTGAGATGGTCAGGATTGGTGAATGCTGTCAGCCCATGGATGTTCATGGAGATGATAGGGTCAGAAGGGCGGAAAGACGTGGCGTTGTTATTGATTTGTCACAAAAGTACAAAACCTGGGACCGGGCAATTAATCGAAATTTAATTGTGATTTCGTATTTGGCTCCTCACGTTAAGAAAAACAGTGCGGCCAACTACTACGGATTGTCCTTAATTTGCGACGCAAGTCGCCGAATGCTGCCTCGTTAAACCCTTACCACTGATTGCTGCGGATATTAAAAATAAATAAATAATAATCATCATCATAATCGGTCACATTGGTCAAACAGGTTGAGGACAAGCAAAAATACTAAATAGTTTGAAAACACGTCACAGACGCGGCGTCCTTCTGCCGGTGGTCCGAGTGACGTGGCACTCACTCATGAGCCATCCGAGTTTGCAGATGAGTGTGCCAAAAGCTAATGACTTGAGGCTTACTTCCAATCGGGCTAACAGTGGCGAGGAACCAAGGGCAGCAAAACAAAGGTGTCAAATAACTACTAAAAATGAAGCCCTCTGGAATAATGAAAACGCCTTCAAATGTAAACGTTATGATCCTACGTGCGGCGTCAACATCATTGTAGGTGGATTTATAGTTATAGGTTCGGTATGCGTTGACTCTTAGAAAAATCAGTCATCTTAATGTGTGATAAATGGCAAAGGCACAACCAACCTCCATCCCTTGCCAATCGTACAACAGAATAAGTCATGGTTCCCTGCGAATACATCAGCTTTGTGTTCAAGCCATCATTTCACACGAAGTACATTTGTGACAAAACGAGACAAGATCATAATTTTAGTATGTCAAGTTTTTATTTTTGTTTAGGTGTTTACCGAAAGGTATTTCTTTCTGGGAAATGCGTTCTTCTAATTAGCAGACGAACACTTGGGAGCCCAGGCTCACAAAACACGTATTTGCGTTTTAAGCGGGAAGCCAAGAGCGAAAGACATTTTCACGGAAGACCAAATGTGATTGGGTGATGTCTGAGGAAGTTGGGGAAGCGAGACCGCGGAGGAGGGCGAGAGGGAAGCAGCCAAGTTGAGAAGTGCATGCGTGTGCCTGGAGTGTGTGGCCAGATGGCTCCAGCGTGTGGCAACCAGCCAGAGGAACAGGTGCAGGTCACATGACCAGCCGTTACCACGGAGATGGTTATTGCTCTTGGCGTGGGGATGAAAGGAGAAGGGCCCCAGGGACAGCAAGGGAGTGAGTGAGCTAGCAAGCGGGAGGGCCTCGTGGAGGGACGGACGGAGGGAGGGAGGGAGAGAGATGCACCTCCATGCTGTGATGCAGAAGGGCAGGCTGGGAGATACAGTATGTCATCTGAATCCGCTCGGATGATGAAACTCAGTGCGTGCAGTTCTCTTGGCGCCCGGTTCTGATTTCAAGTCTTTATACCCCAGGTCTTGACGTAAAATGCAAAAATGTGACACTCGACTTGCTTTCAATAGACTCCATGTCATTCAACATCATATAACTGTACGTAAACAGTTTAGGGAGATACAGTATGTCATCTGAATCCGCTCGGATGATGAAACTCAGTGCGTGCAGTTCTCTTGGCGCCCAGTTCTGATTTCAAGTCTTTATACCCCAGGTCTTGACGTAAAATGCAAAAATGTGACACTCGACTTGCTTTCAATAGACTCCATGTCATTCAACATCATATAACTGTACGTAAACAGTTTCGTTTCATTTACTCCTGGAATCCGTTCGTAGTCTACACACGTATCCTACACGCGCTCAATTGCAAACAATTGAAGCCTATCAGGGCGGATACTTTGTGGTCACCTGCCACCATGCCAGTCTATTTTAACTTATTTTTGCAACCGTTTAGTTGAACTGTGACACCTCCTGGCCAAGAGCTGACGTTTCTGAGATTTGACCGATTGGTGGAACGACAGTCATGTGCTTTCCAGTGGACATATGTCAAGTTTCTTTTGCAGTTCTGAATCGTATTGAGGAAAAGTTCCAATGGGCACCGAAGCCAATTCGCTTTTGTATTCTTTTGTCCCTCTTCTGCGACAACTGATTTTGAATGTGGGCAGTGCTGCTTGCGCACGTGCCGAAGTGCATGGTACATGAGTGTCCTCTGGACTTGCTGTATAGTGTGTGT